TGATCTCTAAAGATCTCTTTAGATTTCTTTAGATCAGACATTTGACACGTAACGCCATCTAGTTTCAAACTAAGCAGAGCTTGTACTATGACAACTAGATTGACTGATAGACTACTTTTATACTTTTTTGTAAATACGTACATATTATACATAGAAAACACCCAAGCTCCGAAACAAATATTTGTAGATCATATAAACATTCGGTACGACCCGGGAATGGAACTCGAGACCTCAGCACAGCAGTCGCATACGCTACCACTACCGAGGTAGTTTAATTACAACAAAATGTTCAATAACTAATACTATTATCCTTTAAATAAAATTGAACTACTTTTTTGAAAAGTAAACTAGCCAAGTATACACATTACTGTTTTTAATTTGCAACTGCTCAAGTATGACATCATTGCAGTTTTAAAGAGTATACACATTTACATACTCCCATGAGCGATATAATATATTTTTCAAAGAGGTATATCAGATAAAAATTACCTTAATACATATATGTATATGTACTCGTACTTACACTGTCTTCTTAATTTTTAGCAGATTTTAAAAATTCAATTTACTTATGTACCAAGAACAAAAGTTTCAACTAAATAAATATTAACCAGATCACGAGGTTTTAACAGTTTTCTGTTTTTCTTTAAAGCAATTATTGCTATACCCTTAATAAGACAAGGTTTTCAATCTATTACAAGGCATTTTTGTGCAAACTCTGTGTAAAGCAACTAAATTATAGGCCGACCGTTTATCTGAGTCCTCGCCGGCGCGGTAACAGGGGGTAACTGGGGGGTATGACGATAAAGGGGACTGAGACAGGTGCGGGCGGCGGGGGCGCTTAGTGAGATACACACGAGATGAAATGCGCCAAGATAGTTCCTGAGATATGTGACGTCATAGTAAAGAAATAGTGATTTATTAAATGAAAAATTATTAATGATAATACAAAATTTTAATTAACCAACTAAAATGTATGAAGGTATGTAAATAAAATATTTGGTAATAAACTATTGTACTATTTATTATATAGAAAAATCATCAAAATTATATTTCAATCAGTTATGTCCATATCAATGTCGGTGGAACTTGATTCTTCACTTTCGAAGGAGTCATCATCGGATTCATCAGAGTCGTCCAGAGTGCTAATAATAAAATCAACAGCATCATCCCGAATTCCATCATGTTTGCAGTACTCGTCCTCGATATTAATTACATGGTTAACACAATGCTCCCACTTCTGTGCAGAATATTCAGCAAATAATCCCTCTAACATAGTTTTTTTTTGGTCTAGATTAGAGTCCACACTTTTTTGTGCTAATTGCCCCTTAATGTCACCCCAAACCAACTCAATGCTTCATGCCCGTTTCTATTCAATAACTCGTCAATTTTATAAATATCTTCAGTTTCTGTCTTTTTAATCAATTTTGATAAGTCATCCTTTTTCAGCTTATCATCAAAAACCAGGTCGTGTCGTCGTAACCATATTTGCATAACTGCCTTGGTAGAAGCCATAGTCGGCTTTTTTTCTTCTCGAACCGAATGGTAAGCTGAGTTATCCATCACGATGACGGAATTTGGTGGTATATTGGGCATTAGCTTTTCATTTATCCATTTACTGAAATTCACGAAATTCATAGAATCGTGATAATCACCTGTTTTACATTTAGATTTAAATATCACAAGTGCTCCGTCTACAAATCCAGTTCGACCTCCACAATGTACGATGATCAAACGGTTCCCTTTTCCAATATGAGATAGTACGCCATGTACATCCTTGGATTGCCAGCATTTTGAAACGTTATGAGACTCATTTACATATGTTTCGTCAAGATATAAAATATGTCTTCCTTCTCTACGATATTTTTTGATAGTCCTTAGGTATTTCCACCTCCACGATGTTATATTTGGCTGTTCAATAAGGAGTTTTCTTTTAGAACCGCATTTCTTAAATTTAAAACCTAGGTCATGTAACAACAGCCTTAAATATTCCCTTCCGCAGTGTAATATATTCTCTTCTCTAAGTACAGCATTCAACGTTTTCAGGGTAGGTATTTTTTTATCAATTGTATAAAACTAAGTGACTTTTCTTCTTACCACTCCTTTTGTGAAATCGTCTATTTCTACTCTTTTTTTGCAAACCTGTTTTGATTTTTTTGGTGATTTGAATCTTTCGTTGTCTTTCAATAATTTCCCTTGATGTACGATTCTAGATACAGTCTTTTCCGATAGTCCAGTAACTTCTGCTACGGTTTTGTTTAAATGTATGTCTTGTTGATATTCAACAGAGTTTGGGTCCAGTTTCTTTTTTTCTAAAATATTCGTACACGTTTAAAGCCATTTGCTTGCACTGACTATTCACTTTATGACCGAAGATCTTACGATTCATCTTGAGATTATTATCACGTGTGTATCTCTTACAAGGCGTCCGCAACAATTAACACGTGCGATCGCTGTCCGCGTTGCGATCGAAATGAGCGATTACAAAAATTCGCCCGCCGCCCGCACCTGTCTCAGTCCCCTTTGTCGTCATACCCCCGCTCCCCGCGCAGGCGAGGACTCAGATAAACGGTCGACCTATAACACTTTTTTTTTTCGGACATCTAACACACGACACCATCTCTTTTCACACTAAGCAGAGCTTGTACTATAAAAGCTATATTGACCTATAGACTTATAGAATAAGTATATACTTTTCTTTTAAATACCATAATATACATAGAAAATACTCAAGCTCCGTAATAAATATTTGCAGATCATACTTACATTTGGTCTAACCCGGGAATCACTTACGCTACCATTGCACCAACGCTGCCGCTGAATATGTATGCATTCTTAAAATTACCAGTATTTACCTAAAACTATTGTTTTCAAAGTAGAGTCAGAAAATCAACTTTACAAACTCCTACTACATTCATAGTAAAAATAAGTTCAAAAGAAAAGTTATGCGAATTTCCTCTTATCACCATGAGTGCCAAAACTTCAAAAGGTCCATCACACGTACTTGGTATTCAGGTGGTGTGCACGGAGCGCCAGACATTAACCTTTAAAAAGGGGTCAATGCGTCAAGTTCTGTCCCCTAATATCTTATTCTAGACGACGATTTGTCGAGGGTGCTGTTTGCACAGACAAATACTTACTTTGAATATTGATGTTGTAACCTTATTATAAAGACAATTAAACTCGACTGATAAGATCTTAATAACAGTTTCTTGTCGTTAAAGCGAATATCTATGAGCGATTTCAAACTTGGTGATAGACAGAAATTAAAATTATCTTGATATTACGGTATATTATGTATATTACGGTCATTTTAACAAGTGATAAGACCAGTGATTATATCTAGACTAATCGTTCAAACATTTGGGGCATTCTGAGTAAGACATGAAGATATTAAAATTTTGCTTCAATATTAAATCACTATTACTCTTATTAACTATAAATAAAACATTAAAAAAAAACTAACTAATAAAACTATTTTTCTAAAAAAACCGAAAGTAAGAAAATTTGTAAAACTATTATCTCACGCAGGTACTCTTCTTAAGAATCTTACATCTTAAAGATCTTATATAAGAAAACAAACAGTGTAAAATTGAAAATCGATCGGTGCTTCCTCTCTTGTCCTAACAATAACACTTTAAAGTAAAATCTACTTCCTGCTCGAGTACATTTTACACCAAAGTTAGAATGGCGAGTGACTCTGTCAGATGAATAATAAATGTGCAGAAAGTCACCTGTACTTTTATTTCTGTTGCCGACCGCAGAGTAGCCGCTAAATATACTTCACGGGTGACTAGGCGAAACATTGCATTAAAAATAAAACTTGATCGGCACATTACTGTTTTAACACGAACTACTACAACCGTAGACTATAAATAAGTATATAACCACTTGACTTTGTATTGTTATTCCTTTGCAATTTTTTTAACACTGTTGAATACAAGTAAAAATGTTTTAAAATTATAACATAAAGTCAGTATAGCTTTCTTCAATAGTATATGTACATCTATGTAGACAATGGATTTTATAAGAACATATTTATTTGTATGCGTTAATACAAAAATTATAACTGCGGTATTCCTAAGTGTCCAAAATTAGCCAAAACTAATATTTAGTTTTCGTACAATTAAGATAAATATTTTTTGTCAAACAGAAGTAAATGCATATATTTTCTTTGGCATAATAATTAAAAACATTTTTACAACAAAATAAAAAATAAACTAAATACATAATATTAAAAATGAACTGGTTATCATCAGTTTTCGTTAACAGCGGCTTTATTTTCCCGTGATAAATTATTCATACATCTAATCATCTTTTTGAATATAAAATATTTAAATTGCAGATCAGTATGTAAGTAAATTATCATTAATTTTATTAATATAATATTAAAATCTGTTTAAGGAAATAGCCTCTCGATACACAAGAATAATATGTCAACTAAGGGAGAAAAATAAGAGGTAATTAGATTTATTTTTCAAATATAATCAACTGATAACTCCTTCGAATATAAAAACAATTCAGAAAGTCGAAATCATTGAAGATCAATTATCAATTATCAGACAAGTTTCAACCACATTCGTAATAGTAGAGAAATAAATATATACGTAAATGATAAAACAGATCTTCATGACAATGTTTCACACATGAGTCAAAATACAAAAGCTACTTGCTTTACGAGTATGTTCAAACAATACCAGTTTTAGAGTCCTCTCGAATTACTGTAGTTACCAGCATTGTTCAGGTTTAATGATTCTGGCACTCATTGGATAAGTAAGAATGTTCTCGTATACATAGTTCTGCAGCATTTTCAAAATTACATTATTTACATAACATGTAAAAAATAAAAGTACTTGATTAGATAAGGGGTACAAGAAATTCTCTTGTAAACCTTATCTAATCAAGTACTTTTACTATTAAACAAAAAATCCAAAAATTTCGAAAAGACCACCCTAATGTAATATTTGAAAGAAAATAATTAATAAGCTGTTACCTTCTCAAAGTTAATAAAAATAAAACTGATTATACGGCACAAAGCCGGGAGATTTGATTACAGGTTTGTGCAAAAATCCATCATAATACAAACCTGCTAATGGTTTGAATTCAGTTAACGGTGGTAACCTTTTCTTCAATGAAGAGAAATTACTCCATCTATCATCTTGTGGCGGCGGCAGAGCCAATTCATTTGTATAAAAATTTGTCGTAATTGATAACTGATCAATCTCAGCATTGTTATATAAGGCGGCTTTATAGACACCTTTGGTTTGACTGTTAGGCTTATTTTCTGATGGAAAACCAGTAATGTTTAATAAATTGGGTTCTGTTTTATTGTCTTTTGCAATACTAATGTTTGTATTCATTGCAAAAAAAAACCATTCCTCTTTAGTTAAAGGGGGTTGTAGTGAGGAATCTGGACTTTTTACTGTAATCGCCAATGAATTTATATCAGTATTATTATACCGTGAATTAGAATAAAACCCTTGAATTTCTGTAGTTGTGTAGAGTTCTGTTGTCATGTTTCCAGTAATATTTGGATCCGAAGTGGTCTCTAGCGTGGTGACTTCTTCTTTCTCAGAAGTCCCATTGTTATTCACATCTGCTATTATGCTAAACGTCTCGTTTAATTTAATTTGTTTCAAATGTTTTTTTATACTATTTCCTCTGTCTAGCGCCTCTCTGAAATTAGCGTCGAAATCACGATCATCTTCTTGGGTATTATTGTTTAATGTTAATTCCGTAACATTTACCACAATCAATTTTTCATTTATATTTATGCTTTTGTCCCCATTTTGTTTATTCTTTAACACTGGTGAAACTATTAAGGCAGGCAATATTACAAATCCTGGAAAGTTCTTTGACATTATGTTTCTGGAAGGAAAATATTCACCTGAAAGCAAAAATAATTCTCGTTAAACCTTTTCAAGATACAGTATAAAATTAGTCAAGATATTTTATGATACATAAATTCATATTATTGTACGTCTGATAGCAGTTGTTTACTTACATAACACAATATTGTAAAATATAAGTGACAGTAGAAAATGTACACTGGACTGCATTTTGCGTAAATCAATAATCGAATGTGTAAATCATCATTAGAACGAATATTTCCCCTCCAAGTCTGTGAATAAAGCAGTATATTAAAAAATGTTAGAGAAAAATTGAAAATCACATGGAATTTAAAATAAAGTATTCTTCTAAGCAGATCCTCAAAACAATACCATATTTTATCTGATAAAAACAACGAGTAATTTATATTCAATGATACTATTTATATAATATACTAATACAATAATTCTTACGTCGCATTGTTTATTTAAGGCCATTGCCCAAAAATTGTACGCTTACTCATGCATATTATTAAAAGTATATTCATTTGATGCACCTAACCAAGAAAAGGTATTTAAATGTTTAAATTACAAAATAATATACACAGTTCTGTATTAAATTTCAAAATAATATGAAACCTTATTCAACGTTGCAAAATGTATCTTCAAAATATTCAATTTTCTTATTTAAATGTTTTCATTTCATCTGTTTTCATCAAATTTAATCTTATAACCCTCCTTCGCGTATACTAAGTAAAGTGAAATCGAAAATAAACATAAACCACATCAGAATGCGGGCTCGTCATGCCACCCGTTCTACTTATGTTTAACTTATCGTTCTTTCATAACATATTTTATCATTAAGCATGTTTGGAATGTTACCCTAAAAATAAGAGAAAGTTTTTCTTTTATTTATTAATAAGTACCACTACACCATACATACTAAACTTATAACTAACAAGCTGTACCCTGCCATACTTCGCTGTAGCACATTATAGTTGCATTGATGAGACAAGTTTGTATTTAGAGGTTGTAGAGGTTTGTATTTCGTGTCAGAATTTGAGCTCAATCCAAGTTAACATTTTTGTATATTATTATATAGCTTTACATCACCCTATAATAGTCCACTGCTGGATATAGGCCTCTACTTAGAAAGGAGATTTTACGGGGTTGGTACGGGGTTTGTTTCAAGTTTTCCTTCTCTTTGTAGTGCTGTTGTCTGTTGTCTTTGTCTCTGTCGTAGTTTGCTCCCCTGGTTGGCTCTTACGACACCCACGGGATGAATAGGGGTGGTGACATTTCGTATTCTTAATCCACCAGTACACGGATATAGAATAATAAAAAAGCTATATAAGCATCATCATCATGATCAATGTTTTTTTATTAAGTGAGGGAGTTTTTCAATCATTGATGATGATGATTATATAAAATCATCATATCTTTTAACAATAAAATATGGCATTATATCTATCGGAGCAACTACAAACTACCTCACTTAATAAAAAAACATTGACTGATTTAAATTAGATTCTAATGGATTAAAATTAAAGTTTTGATAGTTAGTGTTAAGAAATAACCCGAAGAATCGATTTATATAACAAGAAAATACTATACTTAACCTAACAACACGTAAATATGTGCGCGAACAATGCGTCTTATAAAACGAGTTGCATTGCGTATCATTGTCGCTCGAGCCGTCAGGCTGTACGGATCTATGAACAACTGTTGGTGCGACCTTGGAATATAAGTTTAACTGTATTTACTGTTGTCTTTATTTACTACTGTACGGATCTATGTACGACTGTTGGTAAGAACTTGGTATACATCTTTAACTGTATTTACCGTTGTTGTTATTTAAAGCTTTTATAAAGGAAAACCACGACAATCTAAACAATGACGTCAGCTTTGCTAACGTCACGCTATTTAAAAAAAACCCAGACATCTTTTTTTCTGGATTTTTTTTTTCTGGAAGCAGAGCATTTTTTTTCTGGAATAGGGGACAAACGAGCAGACGGGTCACCTGATGGAAAGCGACTACCGCCGCCCAAGAAAGCCTGCAACTCTGGAGTCACATTTGCCAGACTTTGAGGAAGGAGTACCCTTTTTTTTTAAGGTTGAGGCTCGTATCGGTCCGGAAATACCACAGCCGATAACTTGTTCCACAGGTTGATAGTTCGAAGCAAAAAGGGTCTTGAAAAACGCACAGTGGTGGAACGCCAATTATCCAAGTGGTGGGGATGAACATTTTGCCCTGTGGAACGATGGCGGGAGGTTGCGGCCGGGATAAGTCCGAACGATTCCTCGTAGCACTCTCCATGAAATATACGATAGAGAATGCAGAGCGAAGCTACATGTCTACGTAATGCCAAGGGATCGAGCCGATCGCAAATCTTTTGGCTATTGACGATTCGATTCCCCCTCCCTTTATACGGTCTAGAGGGAGAAGCTGGTACTGAGGTGCCCCTGCATTTACTGTAATGTAATGTTCTGCCTTATCTTCTTCTGCCTTAAATCCTGGCTAAAAAATATTGGACTACGCGAACGGATATTCGATCGAATGATGCAACTGATGACAAAATGTTACTTTTGTAAACAGAAAGATTGCAAAGATTATGCAAATACACGTTACAGTATCGTTCAATCAGACAACAGTGTTTAGGAGAGATTTTCATTCATAATATAGGGGGCAAACCAGGAGGCCCTTACGTGGTGCTAAGTAACAACCATCGCCTAAGAACACCTGCAACTCAAGAGATACTAGTGCGTTGCCAACCCTTGAGTAACCTAACCTAAAAATTGCTTGGCTCGCCTGGCGGTACGTGCCAGAGCATAGCGCTCCCACGACTACACATTGCCTAAAGTAGGATAGGACTTTTGTTTATAACACTGTTAGAGAATATATATTTTTGTTATAGAATTAATGTGACTGATTTTCCTTCAGCAATACTGTGTTTGTCAATTCTTGTTCGAACCTCAGTTAAGAGAGTAATTTATTCACTAACACTTCACTTAAATTAATATTTCTCCATATACAATAATATCAATGTGAATTAAAAAACTTTAATATAACGTTGCTCTCTAATGAGTTCAGTTAGAACAAGGGTATTTTGATAGTAGGAACATTGGTCAACAAACTTAGTGTTACTAAATTATACATATACAAACTTTTGCCCGCGGCTCTGCCCGCTTGTATATCGGTTATGGAGGTAAACAACCTATGTTACTTGCTGATAATGGTAGCTTCCCATTGGTGAAAGAATTTTAAAATCGGTTGAGTGGTTTAGGCAAGTAACTGTAACAAACAAACAAGCTCACTTTCACATTTATAATATACTAGCCAATAAGTCCGTGCGGTGACGGATTAAGAATACGGAGTGGCATCACCCCGAAGGTGTCGTAAGAGCCGACTAAAGGAGATAAACTCTGTAGGACAACAGAACTTGAAACAAATTCAATTGTAGCAACCCATCTGGGCAGCCTAGTTTAGTAGGCCAAAAACTCCTTTCTAAGGAGAGGCCAGCAGTGAACTATTCAAGGCTGATGATGATGAATATACCACCCATATATTACTCGCTGAAAATATTTCCATTGTTTTTTTATTTTCCTTTCCATTCCTTTATTAAAACCGGTTTTGTGATTTAGGCGTAATAAACAAACTAACTTTCATATTTATTAAATAAGTATGGAAGTATGTATTTATTTAGTAAGACATTATTAACTGGAAGAGACAAAGATTACTAAATGAAACAGATTAATTATCTGAGAGCCCATTATAAGTTTTCACGTTTGCTCCTAAGAATTACACTTTCAGTACGAAAGACACGTTCAGTACATTACCTTAAGATTTCAATTTTGTATAAGATTCTAAAATAATAACAGAATTGCTGTTAGGTATACAACGTGAAGTTATCATTGAGGATAGAATTTTTCGATTTGCTTTTCAAGTGACGTGATGGAACATTTCATACAAAGGCACATCAATCAACAATAGACACCAAGATACTAATGTACCTACATTATACACTGATACGCCGAAATACAAAAAGAAACAAAAGATTTCAATATAACAAAAGTATAATCAAAAACAGACATCGATGACAGGTAAAAAGCGGCCATTATTACGATTTTCTTCAAATGAAAGCGTCTCCCTTTATTTCGTCGGTCTTCGCTGAAAATAAGATATCCTTTGAAAAAATAATATCAACTCCTAAGGGAACGGACGTACAGATGACAGTAATAGAACAAAGCATTTTTCCTTTTCGTAGAACACGTGTAAATATACCATCTAATTTTTATCTTGATTTATTGAACTGGTATTAAAGGGCAAATTAAAGAGCGTATTTCAGTACATCTGCAAAAAATACAATAATTGTCTTTCTTCGCAGATGTAATGAAAGACATGTAACGTACTTATTACTCGTAGCAACGTTATTAGCTCGTACATGTATTAGCAAGTTTTTTTTTATGTTAGAGGGGGCAGACGGGTCACCTGATGGAAAGCGACCACCGCCGCCCATGAACGTCTGCAACTCAGGAGTCACGAATTCCTCACTAAAAATTATAAAGAGAGTTTTTTTGTTTGTTACAGTTTCGCGCCTTAACTTTTGAAATAGATCGTGAAATTTTAGATATTGTTCAAAGATTTTATTTAAAACTAGTAACTAATAATTATTATAAACAACAATTTCAAATCACGTCACGGAAAACACGTGTTAAACAATACCGGAGAGCAATTTAACACCCCTTCCCCTTAATCCTGGGGGGGGGGGGCACTGATTGTTGCAGATGTCTATAGGCGGCGGTAGTCCCTTACCATCAGGTGACCTATCTGCACATTTGCCCCCTGAACCATAAAAAAACCAATTACATTTTAAAAAGAAAATCTATGTTGCCCACGTTGAAATCGGTTCAGACATTTAGAATTTATGGTGGAATAAAGAAACTTTTACTTACAAACATGAACCTTGAAAACATAACACACTTTTTTCGGTAGCCGTTTAAAAATATACTGTTCCCGAGGGAAGGAAATATAA